GTAAACACACTCAGCATTTACCACACTGCAGTAATAAAACAAGTCTTATTATGCATGTATTAATTATTATTGTTGTTGTTATTCGGCTACCCAGCAGCGTATGATGTAATGAATATTTGCTTCTTTTATTACAAATCAGTAAAACCACACAAGGGGCCAGTAAAGCTCTGATCTGGGGGCCAGAGACACAAGTGGAATTACAAGCCATAACGTCTGAAGTGATAAAGATTTATCCACATGTGTAACGTCACACCCACCTGTCGGTTTGAACCATTCAATGGAAATCTTGTTCCAGTTTGGCGATAATCCTCATCATATACAGAAGTGAGAGGACTGTCCGTCCTCTCTCTGGGATTGACATAACTCTGTTTGACATGGATAAATATTTTTAATCAAACCACAAAATGATTACTTGGATTTAAAACACTATTCAAACTGATGCAAACACACAATTAAAACCTGTCCAACCCTCATTAAGCAATCATGTAAACTTACCCTCTCCTGTGATCGTGCCCTCTCTTGTGATGGATCCCGGCCCCTCTCATATTCATCTCCATCTTTGTAAGACCCCGACAGTCGTCTGTATGTTAACTCATCATTTAGCTGCCTGTATGGGAACTCCTCGTGCAGAGGCCTGTGCCTGGAGTCCTGAGGTGTTTTCCTGTACTTGAAATCCTCATTTTGTGGTGACGTATCTTCAACATTCCTGGTTAGATGCGACCGTGAAAAACTGTCCGGTGAAGGCCTGTACGTTTTCTCCTGAGCCTCACGCCTGTACCTGTAATCCCGCTCGTCGTCATCTGCAAACCTCTGCTTTTTGTTGTCAGAGGGGTCCCGCACTGGTGAAGACATGCGTCTCCTCGCCGGGCTCTTCCTGCTCCGGTCCCTGTTCAGTGTATCTTTGCTGTACAGCCTCTTCGGAGACTCACTGTACTCCCTACTTTTTTTCCTCTCTGTGCTGCTGCGTGCATCCCCACCATATTTATGATACGACTCCCGTGGCATGTCTCTGGGAGGGTCACGCCTTTTCTCCCATCTGTTGTCATATTCATCCCGTTGCCGTGAACTTCTCTCGCTGTACTGCCGCCTGGAACTGTGTTCAGATCTGTTTGCGTACATCCTCAGACCTGAGTGATACAAAAAGAGAATAAACTTGAATAATGTCAGACTTCAAATAAACACAACCACTTATCTTGTATTAACAAGGCAAACAAAGTGCTCTCCACTTGGAATATGTCAGGATTTCTACAGTTGTTCTGTGCCTGTGGCGGTACTCCAAAGAAATTGGCTCCAAAAATTTGTGATTCTAAACTGTGTGAATGGTTGTCTGTCTCTGTGCTAGTTATGTGACAGACGCATGTATACTCCTCGGGTTAAATGTTTAGCATCAGTTACCATGGTGATTGAGTCAGGTTAGAAGAAAGCCACATTCATGACATGCTAAACCATTAATAGCGTTCTGGTAATAACTACCCTCGCAATTCTTCTGCAAAGTCGGGGTTAAACTGAAGATAGCCTCATATGCTGCCTGCAGATCTGGCCTATGAGGTGGTAAAACAGGCCAGCTCACTGTTCAATGCTACTACGGTTTACATTCAGAGATCACACTGATAAGCATTCCCCCCTAGATCATAAATGCTTGATAATCACAACAGGATTGAAAGAAACAAGCAAATGTAGGTCACAATGAGTCTACAAAAATATCCAGCAAAACATAAAATAAACATTTTTTTAAAAAATGAACATACAGCAGGAGTCACAAACCAACAGTATAGGCGCGGGTGTGTCTTTAAATAGAAACTACGTGTAAAAGCACCTGCTGTAGAATTCTCTGAAAGGACGCTCAGGCATCCCAGAGCTTAGATAGTTGGCTTAATGGAGCTTTCGGTATGCCGTGACCGAGCTAACGTTAACAGTGTTGACCGTTAGCGTTCGCTGCAGCAGCTGCCTGTTAGCAGGCCACGGAATAGCTTCAGTTGGCTTTAGCAAAAGGAGAAATATCAAACTTACAACTGTATCATCGACAGGATAGTATTTCCAGCTAAAATCGCTTCGTCTGCGAAAACTTTCTCGTCCTAAAGTGCAGTTAAATCAGCAGGAGTTAAAGCTTTGCCCCTGCTTTTGATTAACCTACTTAGCAGCATTCGCGGTGGTTAGCTAACGAGCTAACGTAAAATTACCGTTTCCGCTGGATGACTCCACTTTCATTACAAATCAGGAAACACACACTCCCTTGGGTAAATGAAACCAGGGAAAACTGCTCAAAATATGTTTAGCAGTAAGTAAGTTTCCTAAAAACATTCACAAAATGTTAAATACAGTCGGACAGCATTTTAAAAACAGGCACTGACTAAATTCCAGGAGGTTTGTTTTTCTAATCTCCCCCCGGGGATGAAGAAGTGGGTTCAACTACTTTTTAACGCAACTTTATTGATAACATTTAAACACAAGAAATTATCGTCAAAAAGTAAGAAAATTCACATTTAACTGTCTTTTTAAAAAAATGTTTTTCTTTATTTTCTTAATTGAGTTACACAGAAAATACAAGACAACAGAGGCACAGAGAGGCACTGTATACATAAGTACATAATTGTGGGGTACTGGCATACTGTGAAAGCACAGTATGTTGAAGAGGATGATGTATGGTTTCTGAGAGGACCTTTAAGTCATTCTTTTTTGTTGTAATATCAAGGTGAGATCAAGGTGGCTGCTCAGCCAACACACCAGGCAAAAACAATCCTCTGATTCCCTGATTCAGCTCTGCAGCCACAAGGACAGCAGGCTTTCCCAACTTGTGAGACTGGGCGCTGATCTGCAGTACAGGAACTCCACAGGGGACTGTGCTGTCTCCGTTTCTTTTTACCTTACACAGCTTCAGAACAACTTCTCGTCATGCAACCATCAGAAATACTCTGATGAAAGTTCTACAGTGGTTAGATGTGTTAGTAATGTGCAGGAAGAGGAGGACGACAGAGCAGAGGATGATTTTGGTCTGGAATGTTCTGAATGTGGATAAGATTGGAGAGATGGTGATTAACTTCATATGCAGGGAAGAGGACAGCTACATTAAGCCATATAAAGTGCTTTTCTACTTTAACTGAGCACTCAAAGCCTCAAGCCTCGTTCACCCAATCACACACTTTATTCTATCTAGCATTTATCTAATATTGTCTTATCTAAAATTCATGCACACTTACAATACTGAGGTTAACTCAACATTTTGGCCAAGGGTACTTTGACATGCAGCCTGGAGGAGACTGAATCCTTGACCTTCCAAGTAGTTTACTTCCCACTCTAGCTCCTGAGCCATAGATGCCCCAAAGGACAAAACCAAAGCATCCACATCAAAAGTGGGCTGAACTGGAAGTTGGCACACAAAAGTGAATAAGCAAACTCTGTTCCTAGGGAAGCCGAGACCCTTCAGTGTGTGCAGGTAAATGACACTGAGACTTTCTACCACTCAGTTGTGGTGAGAGTATTATATTTCCCTGTGATCTGCTGGGGAAGCAGCATCAAAGATCTTCAAGGAGTCTTGCTCCATTGCTTCGCAAAACTCCTCCCATAGTTGAGTTTTTGCTTTAGCTACCTTTTAGAACTGCTTTTGCTTTCAGCCTGCCACAGGAGATCAAAAGGCCAGTCACTCTTCCGTTTCACCTTTCACCTTACAGCTGCTGCTCCAGTCGCCTCAGCAGACGTGTGGAACATTTAGTATTTTTTACTATTTTCACTTATTGTCTACAGCTATCCTGCTGTCAAAGCTCTTCTGGAGAAGATCTCCCTGACAGAGGTCTCTGACAGATGCTCTCGGCGCACCCTCAAAATATATATGTCAACTCACAACCTAGGGGTCCTGTTGTCAAGCGCACTTAGGGATACCTGTATGCTTGAACATGGTATTCGTTACAGGAAACCTGTCAAAGAAGTCTGATAGCAAAGCAGGATACAGACTGAGTAGACTGCCGCTTTAGGAGTTCCCAGATGGGGCACCTTCCAGCACCCCATCCAAGAAGGCCAGGTAGTCAGGACACATTCTCCAGGAGCTCTGGCCCCCGTGCTCATTCAGACTTACCTCAGCTGAGCAAGGCCCCTTCAGCCAAAAGATGTTATTTTTAGAGTCCCTTATCCAGGCCTTGCTGCAGGGTGGGACCCTCGGTAACTCCATCCCAGAGAAAGTCATATATACCACTGTTATTAGGGAACTTCTCTCTTCTCTTCTCCCAGAACTGCAACGCTGAACACTGAGGCCCACAAACCCCTCCACAGTGATAGGGTCCTCCTAGAAATAAACTGTATCACTGTTGTGATTCTTTAAATTTAATAACAGTAACATTTTGCACCAGTATATTGAATTAACAAAAAGTTTATATTTGTGCGCCACAGCAAACATTATTTTTAGTTTTATATGTTTGCATAAACACGTTTCGGAGCACAGATTTTCCTCCTTCTCTGTTTTTCAGTTTTGTTAGTAATAAAAGCAGCAAAAGCAGTTTTTAAAAGAAGCAAAATATCTTTTAATTTAATTATTCAATTTCATTGTGGTTGTTTTAGTTTTATTAATTCATAAACGTAACAAAACATGGCGTTACTGTCATGCATAAATAGACCATTGCAGTCAGACGTGGTTAAACGCTTTAAATATTTACACCCATAATGCTGATAGGCTCATTTATACTAATGCTCTTTATAACGTCACCCTCATTATAACACCTAATTATGATTTGGGGCAATCGTGGCTCAAGAGTTGGGAGTT